TGCCACCCATTCCATTTCTCAGAGACTAGCAGAGGAGAAGATAGTAGATCACCAGGACAAGAGATTTGAGGACTATGTCCCTGACCATTACCACAAGTTCAGGGATGTATTCTCTAAAGAATCTTTTGATGAGCTACCTGCAAGGAAACCCTGGGATCATGCTATTGAACTGAAGCCAGGATCTGAACCCTTCAAGTGCAAGATTTATCCCATTTCCCCCAATGAACAGGCAGAGTTGGATGCATTCCTGGATGAAAATCTCAAGTCTGGAAGGATCAGGCCATCCAAGTCCCCTATAGCTTCTCCTGTATTCTTTGTCAAGAAGAAATATGGAAGTCTTAGGCTTGTACAAGACTACAGGAAGCTCAATGACATGACCATCAAGAACTCCTATCCTTTACCCCTTATCTCTGACATTATCAACAAGCTGAGCAAGGCTAGATACTTTACTAAGCTGGATGTCAGATGGGGTTTCAACAATGTCAGAATCAAGGAAGGAGATGAATGGAAAGCAGCCTTCAGGACCAATAGAGGGCTGTTTGAACCCTTAGTCATGTTCTTTGGCCTGACAAACAGCCCAGCCACCTTCCAGACTATGATGAATGACATCTTCAAGGAGCTAATTGATGAGGGTGTTGTCATTGTCTACATGGATGATATCCTCATCTACACTGACACCTTGGAGAAGCATCAGGAGATTGTCAGAAGGGTCTTGGAGATACTTAGAGCAAACAAACTCTACCTAAAGGCAGAGAAGTGTGAATTTGAGAAGACTAAGGTGGAATACCTAGGCCTTATCATTTCACCAGGCAAGATTGAAATGGATCCTGTCAAGGTAGAAGGTGTCTCCAAATGGCCAGAACCTACCAATGTCACAGAAACCCAGTCCTTCCTTGGATTTGTCAACTTTTATAGGAGGTTCATCCAAGATTTCTCTGACATTGCTAGGCCACTCCATGATCTGACCAAGAAGGATGCACCTTGGATTTGGGGAAATAGACATAAGCAAGCCTTTGAAGCTCTGAAGCAGAAGGTTACATCTTCACCTGTCCTTATCTTCCCTGATGACAACAAACCCTACAAATTGGAGGCAGACAGCTCAAACTATGCAACAGGAGCTGTATTGTCTCAGCAGTCTGATGATGGAAAGTGGCACCCTGTAGCCTTCCTGTCAAGAAGTCTTAGTCCTGTGGAAAGAAACTATGACATTCATGACAAGGAAATGCTGGCTATTATCAGAGCTCTGGAGGAGTGGAGACACTACCTGGAGGGTACACAGCACACCTTTGAAATCTGGACAGACCACAAGAACCTTGAGTATTTTATGACTGCCAAAAAGCTAACCAGAAGGCAGGCAAGATGGTCATTGTTCCTATCCAGGTTCAACTTCACCCTCCACCACAGGCCTGGAAAGAAGTCTTTGAAACCAGATGCTCTGTCCAGGAGGCCAGACCATGGAAAAGGGGAAAGGGACAATGAGAATATTGTCCTACTCAAGCCAGCCTTTTTCAAGATTCAGGCCCTCAGGCAAGGTCACACATTCCTTATAGGACAGGAGAAGGAACTTCTCAAGCAGATCAGGAATTCCAAAGACCTTGATGAGCCAGTTGTGAAGGCTTTGGAGGAACTGAAGAAATCAGGCAGCAAAAGGTTGGAAGGGAATGAATGGTCAGAAGAACAAGGTCTTATTCTTTTCAGAGGCAAAGTCTATGTGCCCAAGGACCCAGACCTTAGAAGAAAGATTGTGGAAGCACATCATGACTCTGTCATGACAGGTCATCCAGGGAGATGGAAGACCTTGGAGCTGGTATCAAGAAATTACTGGTGGCC